TACTGGCGTCCCAAGTAGGTCACCTATATACCCCATCAGCGTCCTAATGGGTCCACTTAATCCCTATCGACGTCCCAGATAGGTCCACTTAATCCCTGCAGGTCCACTTATACCTCACCGGCGTACCGGATGAGTCCACTTAATCCCTACCGGCGTCCAAGATAGGTCCACTTATACCTCACCGGCGAACCGGATGAGTCCACTTGCATACGTAAATTATTTCTAAATCTCTTTAAACATTCGAAAGCAGCAATATCATGTACTCAATATGTCACTGAAATCCTTAATATGAATTTCACTGAAACGATTAATAACAGTCACTTTCAATAACATTTCTAAAATATTGGGCTCAAATTTAGAAAGGTAGCAGTTCGTAAAGACGTTCTAGCATAATTGCCAATTTAATATATATAGAAAAACTCTTATAGAAATTCAAGAGTACGGAATTATCACAATTTATGGGATATCAATTCACAAATAAACATTTCACAACAATACTATAATCAATTGCAAAAATGTCAATTTTTTTAAATAATAAGGCAGTCATTTGCACATGAATTTTACAATGTCTAAATATTCAAAACAGTAGAAAGAAATATCACAATTTTACTAAAAGCAGAAATATCACATTTATTTCTAACAATAAACAAGGAAAATAAATAAATTTATTTTTCTAATTTACAGCATTCAAAATTTCTAACATAGATAAAATATCACAATTTTTATTAAAAAGATTATTTTTCAAGATAATGAGGTCACGTGCGCATAAAATTTATCGTGCCTAAAATTCATGATAATAAGCAGAAATAATTATTTCATTTCATTTTTAAAAAGAATGGATTATTTTTCGAGACAATGGGGTCACTTACACACAAAACTTATAAAATAAAGATCCTGGACGGAAATATCACTATTTATTAAAAATGGACTATTTTTCAGAAAGACGATGTCAGTTACCCACAAATGTTTGAGAGGGAGCTTCCGATAAAAATTCGGTTCGAGAGAGGAGTTCACTATGTTTCGACCAGAGAGAGAGAGAGATCTCAAAATTTTCTAGAGTGGGAGTGCTCACCTCCCCTATTTAAATGCTTATAACGTATTATTATAATATTTTATTACGCTCTACTTCATACCTGAGGTGTCGCGTTAAGCGTCTGCTTTCAACATACGAAAACCACGTCCGCTAAAGGACGTTGCCAGCTGCAAGCAGCAACTGCAAAGGCTGCAAACAAAAGCAGCAGCAAAAGTTTTAAACCAAGTAAAAGTTTTTGAAAATAGTGATGGTCCCCAAGGACCATCATACTCAAACAGACCATCACCTATTTAAAAGCATCTTTTCTCCGTTTTGTTTTTTCTTTTTTTTTTTTTTTTTGTAAATTTTAAGATTGTTACAACCAGCCAATCTAATTTTTTACCGGCCTTTGAGCATCCTCTTTATCAGATTATCACAAGATCTCAAGATGGTACTCGACGACCTCGGATTCTCCCATCCATGGCAGCAATCTCAAGGGCTCTTACCTTTGAAGCTATCCTTTTTGAACCTAAAACCATTAAGTCTGCCTTGGGTCATCTGGGTTGGCATTGTGCAATGGAAGAGGAAATTGAAGCCTTGCATGTTAATTCAACTTGGGAGCTAGTTCCATGTCTTCTAGGTATGAATGTTGTTAGTTGTCGTTGGATCTATAAGACTATATTACAGTGTGATGGCAGTCTAGAGAGACTTAAGGCCAGACTAGTTGCTCAAAGATACAATCAGGTTGCTGAAATGAATTTCTTTGAAACATTCAGTTCTGTTATTAAGCCTGTTAGTATTTGGATTGTGCTCACCATAGTTATTTTGCGCCATTGGCCTATCAAACTGCTTGATGTGAAAAATGCCTTCCTGTATGGCTTTCTTAATGAACCTGTATTTATGGAACAACCTCCTGGATTTGTGAGCTCAAAATATCTAAATCATGTTTGCAAATTAAAAAGAGCTTTATATGGTTTGAAGCAAGCACCTAGGGCCTGGTTTGATCGATTTAGTGCCTATTTATTATCACTGGGGTTTTATTACAGAATAGCTGATTCATCTCTATTTGTTTCTCGCACTACTCAAGGTACTATTCTTCTTCTTTTTTATGTTGATGATATTATTGTTACTGGTGATAATTTAGATCTTCTAAAGTGGTTCATTTCCCAACTAAGAAGAGAATTTGCAATGAAAGATCTTGGACCTCTTCATTACTTCCTTGGCATAGAGGTGTCTTATTTTGCAGGTGGGATTTTTCTCTCACAAAGCAAATATGCCTGGGATCTTCTTGATCGTGCTAAGATGTTCGGTGCCAAACCTATTTCAACACCAATGACAATAAAGAATAGTATTCATGGGACTTCTGACCCATTTCCTGATCCATCTCTTTATCAGAGCATTGTTGGTGCACTCTACATTACCATAACACGACCAGACCTTTCCTATAGTGTTAATACAGTGTGTCAATTTATGCATGCCCCTACAATTGCACATTTTCAGGCTGTCAAGCGGATTCTTCTTTATCTCAGTGGTACACAATCCTGTGGTATTAGACTCTTATCTACTAGTTCTCTTGAGTTATATGCCTTCTTTGATGCAGACTGGGCTGGGTGTCCAACCACTCGTTATTCAAATATTGGTTTCTGCACTCATCTTGGTTCCAACTACATATCTTGAAGTGCTAAGAAACAATCGATTGTGGCTCGCTCGAGTGTTGAAGCTAAATATCGATCTATGGCATTCATTGCTGCAGAATTGACATGGCTTTCTTTTATTTTTCGGGATATTAAGTTGCCTCTTCCTCAGCCACCGACACTTTTTTGTGACAATATTAATGCTCTCTACATGACAGTTAATCCTATTTTTCACGCACGGACAAAGCACCTTGAGTTAGACTATCATTTTGTGCACGAAAAGGTTGCTCTTGGATTACTTATCACTCTTTTTGTTTCCTCTTGCAATCAAGTAGCTGAGATCTTCACTAAGACTTTGCCACAAGATGTTTTTCGTGATCTTTGCTTCAAACTTGGACTTCAAATGCTTCCCTAGCCGAGTTTGAGGGGGAGTAGTAGAAACAAAATTCCAAATCTCCAGTTATGAAAAGGCCACAGTAGTAATATTGCTCTTTCCTTTTGAGAGAAGAATGTAACAAGATAGGAAGTGTATATTGCATGTAACAAGATAGGAAAGTATATATGACACCATTGTGTTATCATTATATATACAATGAACGAACCACCACAATAATTACGTGGGGCAAAATTTTATTTTAAGAAGTTCGGTTCTCTCTCTAAAATTCTTTACTCACTTCCAATTTTTAGGAATAGTGATCAGAGACATTTGGAATCTAGATTCACAATATCAAAATGATTGCCAAAATTTTTCGGAATGATTGGAATTTTTAAGCATTATTTGAAATTTTTGATATTTAAAATTTATTAATAATTAATATATGATGGGTGTCTTAAAACTCTATCAGTGTTTACAAACTCTAGTTTACATCATTCCTAAATTTTGAGTATTTGTAATAAATGTCTTATTTTTCAAAAATACATTAGCAATAAATAAAGTAAACTTTATTTTCTTAATTCAATCTAAGCACTCAAGGAAAGTATTGAGTTAAGGGTATTCAACCTGGGTTCCAATACGTGCGGAGAGGAGTTATAAAGGACACTCAATACGTCCACTCTAGTAGTAAGGGAGGGCTATCAAAGACATTGATTCTAATAACAGGAGAGCCCTGAGTAAGTGTATACAATATATGGAGTCCAATGCTAAGGATTTCTTGTTTATAGATAATTCAAAACGTTAAATCTTTTGAACTCATTTCTTGATAATTTCTGGCCTGGTTCCAAGCGCTTTGGTGCACGGTTCTTAGAAGTTAGCAATCTCGATTCCAAGTTGATGGGATTGCAGTCTGACAAGGTAGGAATCTCAATTTCTACTGGGTTGGAGCTTGATTCCCAAATGGTAGGAACCCGCTTCATGTGATGTATTTTATGGATGGCGATTCCGACTATAGGAATCATTTGGCCACCTACGATTTTGTGATTCTGATTCTCGAAATGATTTAGAATCACATGCGTTTCCAACAACCATAGAATGTATATGTCAAGTTACACCATAAATGTGCAAGGCAAACTGAACGCTACTTTAACAAAATGTAAAATCAGGAGCTTGATCAAGAGAAACAAAGATATTTACTGAAATAACAACTAAATTATCATTAACATAGCAGTGCAACCTTACATTATATGTCATCATTATTATCATCATCCAAGAATACAACATAAAAGGCCTTCAGAAAATGTTTAATGTTTGGGGCAACCTTACATTATATATATATATAAATCTTCTATGTTTAATGTCTTAAAAGATGTCACTGAGAAGGTAATATGGATTCTTTTGCTGGATTTGGTGCCAGCATATTTGGCATGTATGTATCGATGGCTCAAGAGTTCAAGTGGTTATCAACTTATCTATTTTGGGTGTATTGGAAGATTGTGTAACAGCAATGGGTCTTTCTCTCGAACCCTAAGCTTCTTGACACACTTAATTTGGTTTTAACAACTATGATTAGTGTATCTAGGGTTTCATTCTGTCATTCAGTTACGAAAAAAAAGGGTAAGATCACCTTGGTCCTTTTCTGCCAAACTTCCAGGAATGTATGTGTGAAGCCATGCAAAATAGATGTCTAGCCACTAGAGTGGAAGCCTAGGCTTCACTCTATGCACATCTTCATTTTTTGCTGTTTTTATATCATTCTTCTTTTTACATACATTATTTTCTATGCTATTGCAGTTTGTCCCTTAGTTTTCCCAGCTACTACAAATATTTCAAGGGACTGCGGCAACACTGTCAACCGACGAGGTTCTTGCTGCAAGACCATGGAGAATTATATTTCTCATTTGCAAAAGCAAAGTTTTGTAACTAATTTGCAAGCTTTAAATTGTGCTGCATTGCTTGGTCGACAGTTGCAGAAAGCAAACATCAGTGAGAATGTATATAATCTTTGTCATATATCGCTGAAGGATTTCTCTGTTCAAGGTTTGCTGTACTATATCCAATTTTCATAGTATAAATATGATTCAGTGACTAACCCAGTAAACCTAGTGTGAGCTTGTCACTATAAATTTGCAGTATTTAACTACTCCTTTAAAGTTATCATCGAAACTGATGTTACATTCTTATGTTTTGGCTGTCTCCCGATGATGGAATTGCACAATTCTACTGCAGTTGGATCGCAAGGTAAGCATAGCTATACATGTTAACATAACAAATTTACGTACTGAGTTATATGCTTTACTGCCGCCTTTAGTTATACATGAAATCATATTTTTTGTACTAGTAAAATATTTAATAGTACAGGTAGCACTTTCCTTAAAGAAAAACAAGAAAAGAAAAAAAGAAACCATAATCATTTCCAATCTTCTGTTCTGTTTGAATAGTGCCTAATAACTGTACTTTCCCTCTATGAGCATGCCCCACCACATGTATATTTGGCAACAGTTCTAGGAAACAGCAGATTTTGTTGGGTTATTGCCATCAAGGGAGATAATGGATGGGGCTGGAGAGAATGGGATCATCAAAATAACACGTCCCTGATGTTTGGCCCGTTCTCTCTTCTTCACTATCCATCATTTCAGTAGATGTTGATGACTGGACTCTGGTTTTCTGTAGTCCATTGGATTATAGTGTACTTTATCATTGGTCTAGACTGGTTGTCATGGAGAATGTTCTAACTATTTATGGTTAATACTTTTCCTATTTTAACAGAGTCTGGTTGCCTTCTCCCAAGTTTGCCATCAGATGTAACTCTTGACCAAACAGGGGTTAGTTTTACTTGTGACCTGAATGACAATATAGCAGCTCCATGGCCTTCTCTGTCTCAAGTATCGACATCTTCGTGCAATAAATGTATGGTTTCCATCTACTGTTTATTCTTTTTACTTTTCTTGTGCCCTTTTGGATGATGTTTTCTCCCTTTGTTATAAATTGTAATTCTAATGGTTTGAATCTTGAGTTTTTTGTTGTGTTTCCTCAACTCTTTAGGTGACTAATAATTTTACTGATGGACTGGAATTGACTTTGAGTGTATGTTGATTGTGAGGATTGGGTGTTTACAGAGCATTCCAGTTGCTGTAATTCTTAAATAACTTTGTTTGACTTGTTTTCAGTGTGGGAAACTATAACAGATGTGTTGGCTAAAATAGAATGATTAAGACGTAGCTGAAAGGTGGCGATGTAGAATTCCAAGTTATAAATCCAAAGCATTTATTGTTTTTCTTATATAAATTGTTGGAAATTCTATTTACAGGTGCCACAAATACAATAAATTCAGCCTACTACAATCTAGGATATTTATAAACTTACTGCCAAAATAATTGCATTTAACAATATAATATTGGGACTTTAGGAATAAAAAAAAAGACAAAAAAGTAGCAGCAAATAAAAACTTTAATAAGGGAAGACCTACTGGCTTTTACTTAGGGTTACCCCTCCAGGCTTAGCACATCCCACACCCGATCACCTGACCAATGGCATGCTTAAATCCTGGATCCTGCTGAACTCTCAAATCTAATGTTGAGGCCCTCTCGGACAAACACAACTAGGGTTTCACCAAGTAGACTCTTGAAAACACTAGGGTAGGCCACTAAGGCACTATATCCTAAACTTAGGACTGGATGTGCCCTTCTCTTTCTCTCTTCTAGATTTAGCATTGCCATCCTAGACACTTGTAGAGGGTGGTGTGGCCCTATTAGAGAGAGAACTAGAGAGAAGCGTAGAGAGAGAGAGAGAGAGAAGTTAGAGAGGGATGCGTAGTAGAGAGATTGGAGAGAGATAAGATATCAGAGATGTGAAGAATGAGGGGGAGACCACCCCCCACCCCCGCCCCCCTCGTTTATATACCACTAGGGCCTAGGGTGTCCTAGTCAAATTAGGAGTTCAACTTGATCTAGAATTATTTAGGTGACCCCTTGAAGTGAGAGAAAATTAATCTTAGCTATTCATCTCCAATATCGGCCATCATGATCTAAAGTGAATCTTTAGTAGCCTTATCTCCTGAGATTTGACCCATATCAACTTCTAATACATTTGGAACTTTGACGAGTCAAATCTTATTATAGAACTATCCAAGATAGACTAGTACTTCTATTCTCTCACAAAGAGATAATTAGGACCTCTAATTAAATTTGGACTTGGTCAAAAATTCTAGATAACGAGAAATTCACTAAGATAATTAGTAGGACATGTGGCCCTAGTGGACTCCATGTGATGCCCTAATGTGGGTCCCACACGTGTGGGGCTGGGCCATTAGCTCCCCACGTGAGTCCCACACACAATTTCGCAAATTTCAGAAATACCCTCATGTTATAAGGTTCCAAAAATACCCTTTTAGGTTTTCTCTATATATGAGATTCATTTTTTGAATTCTGAAAATTCCCAAAACTTCATAGAAGCACATTTTAAGTTGAAAATAATATTTTTGAAGTTTCATAAGAACCTAAAACACTCAGAAATACGACGTAGAGGTGGATAGGTACCCAATGGGTAAGAAACAAGCGAATATAAGGGCACTCAACCGGTGTTAGGATCCATGATCCACTATTTTCTTCTCAAACTAACCCAACGGGACCCATGACTCATAATCAATAAATAGTGGAACCCAGTATGTGGATTACAGTTTCTCCCAAGAGCAAGTCACAATGCAAACATAGTACAATGGGGTGCTCTCTCTATGTACATGTACATGTGTCCCTCTATATAGTTTTGCTTCTAAAAAATGTGGCTGTCGTAAGTACACACTGTGTGGAAGTTTTGTTGAGGATTTGACCTTCACTATCACAGGCCCTTCATTCGTACACAACTCTCTTGTTTTACAAACAACATCCCTAGGCAGCTCTCCAACCTCAACAAGGGATGACCCACAATAAGACCTCAATTGTAGTGCTACATGCCTAGGGGTAAGGGTTTTGGACATGACCCGGCCATAGACTGTCCAACCGTAGGTCAGTAAGCCACAATACACTCCCATTGAAGTACACAAATCACTAAAAGATTTTCTATACAAGCTCTTTGGGCCTTTAAAGGCCACAAACCCCAACATGAGTAACCTTGCTGGCTCATTCCCTTGAACAAGTTCTTGATAAGAACCGAAAAGATCAATTTCTTTCATTGTATAACTTGCAAAATATCTATCTATTTTATCTCTCTGTCTATTTCTGTGTGTACATACCCGTGTGCAAGCGCAGCACAAGCGTAATCACTCAGTTTTATTTCTAGCTGCCAGCAAGGGGCATCTACCAGAAGTATATGTCATTGAGCTGTCCCCTATGAAAGGCCCTCTCTTACTTTTAGATCACATTGCTGTTTTAAACATACCAACTTTTACACACTTTTTGCTTGCTTATTTCCTTAATGTGATTGTATCTTGCCATTGCATAAAAATAAATTATTAATATTTTCATTGTTTTCTTTTTCTTTTTTCTTTTTATAAATTTTTTTTTTAAACATTCTAGTAACTTTTTTCAGTTACTAGAAGGAAAATTACTGAATCTAACTTGACCATTGTTATAACAATTGCAGCTATCTCAATACCAGCACTTCCAGCAGCAACTTCTGCTCAGAGGGGTAAATGTGTTTGTTATCTTGATTTTGGATTTTCTTTATGCATTTGTCTGGCCATTTGTTGCATATATGAAGGAAAGTTCTTACTTGATACATTGGTAATTACTTTAAGTTAATAATGCCTCTATTGATTGGAAGTTTGTGAAAATTATTTGGAACATTCATATATTGGCTTTTAATTTGTTATTGTTGTTGCATGGTCATTTTGTGCATGTTAGAACTGAAATTTTGTTTTATTATGTCATGGCATAATGTTTTCAAAATAAAAGCAAATAGATAGTCTCTCATTTCTTGGACTAACATGATTCTTGTGAACATTACCAATGGGATGTTATTGCATTTAGTTAGTCATTTGAGCAGTGACTATATGCTAGCAAACAAAAGAGCCCTTCTGGCAGTTAAAAAAGCTTTATTCTTTGTGACTGGTGAAACTAATAACTCAAGTGATTGTTAGTGAAAATTTGATACCTGTTGAAACTTCACTAGAAAGCCCGTTTAAGTAAAGAAATTCATCCAATTAGTATTGACTTACAATATAAGAAGTCTCCAGTGGCAGCATACTCAAACTACCGGAAGTGTTCATCATGTTGATGACACTCAAACCCTCTTTATTCAAAATCATTCCGGTGAAATCCTCTTGCCTTAGTTATCCCCTAGGCAAAGTAGCCTACAAGGCCCTACTTCATTCATTACGCTCCGGCAGAGTGAATTAGAACCTTTTCTTTGGTCGAATTTCTAAGACATGCCTTCTTTATAAGCACGCTGTGGTAATATCCCCATCTTACAGGCTTATGACCCCTCATCATGAAAATAGTCATATAGGCCTAAACTATATTTCAATATATTTCTGAGAAATCAAATTGAAGGCTTTAAAAGTCTTCTAAAAACCTCCCGGTCAAAAAACAAACTTTCTATCGGTAAGGACGATATGTAGATCCTGCCTGCAGTTTCTTCTAATTGACAGAAGATCGCACGAAAAGATCATTCTAGACTTATCTGGAATACCACATACCCCATAAGAGATAATACGTGATACAAGTCAGCAAACGAACATCTCATGAGACTGGTGGATCATTTCCCACTATGAGCAATACCTATTTCCTGAGTATGTCAAGATAACTGCCCTGTGCAAAGTCTATAGAACGGTAGTTGTCCTCAAGCCAAAGGGGGATGGGGATATAGATACCAAGCCATTAAGGACGGTGAGACAGAGAAAAATACATCCATCTATACAGACAAAAATTCATACATAGGCAAATCAGCAGATTCAGAAAGACTGAAGGCCCTTTGTATGCGAAGTAAGTACCTTGTATCTTTCCTTTCAAACTGCTGTCATTTGTAATCGATTAAACATAGGTGTTTTGCCCCTCCATTGGTTGAGGTGTGAATGTTATTAACAAGTTATCTGAGGAGCCATGGAATCTTCTACCCAGAATAATAAAAAAGCTATGTTTAAGGCTAATGACCTAAACAAGGTTGGTTGTTTGTGCATTTCTTGAGTGATATTTGTTTATCCATGCACCATACTCCAGGAATTGCCTTACAACGATGACTTTTCAAAAGAATTCTAGCTAACCATTTTAAGAAAAAGGGAAATTTATCAAAATACACCTCACTTCCAGCTATTTAATATTTTACCCTTTTTCTACCATTCGAAGTCAAAATCATTTGTATTTTGATAGGCATTTTGAAATTAAATCATAAACATATGGGTAAAATGTTAAATGGTCAATACCTTAGGTGTATTTTGACAAATTTCCCTAAAAAATAAAGGTAGGTGGCACCTTTTTGTTTATTTTATTTCATTTTCTTTTTCTTTTTACACAATATTTTCTCTGTTAGTTGTGGGAACCTTGTACTTAGGTGTTGATCGTGCTCCCAAAATAGCATTCCCTGGGTGATGCCAAACCTTTTTTTTTAATGGAACCCTTGGCATCACATGTGGCACCTACCACTCCTGCTCCAGATTCGTTTTTTTGTTTCTTGAATTTTCTTATTTGTAGCCGATCCCAATTATTTGGGAAAAGGCTTTGATGATAATGAATTTTCTTATTTGTCCTTTCACTCCCTTTATTTTCCGTTGTGTCAAGAGGAAGGGGGCTTTTAGACTTATGAGGTATCATGTGGGACTTCCTTCGCTCACAAGTGAATCTTTTTCCTCACTGGCTTCTCTCCATGCATGGTTGAAGGAAACCTGCATTCTCTCAGTGAATGCCCTAGTCTCAACAAATATGTCATGGAGACATGTTTGAATGTCTCATATGGATTCCCATGTACTGTCAAGATAACGCCAGAAAACGATCATGGATTTACTGAAGTGGCCTTTGGAGTAAACATCTAAATTGAGAACTTGGAATTGAAGCACTATGAGATCAAGGAATTAGATTAATCAAGGAAAGGCTTAAATCAATTTATACATGAGATGAGTAGTGTGAGGTGTAATCCTTTGAAATTTGAAGCTAATAGATGCTAAATTGTGTTCTTTCCCCCTCCAAGTGAAGATTTGGGTGTGCGCCATTTATTAAAATAGTAACATAGTAATTGGAGCTGGAAATATAGAAATTTATGGGATATTTTTGTTTTTATCAATTTTGCTGAATGACATTAGTTCATCATCGTCAAAGCTTTTTCTCAACTAATTGAGGTTGGCCACTGAATGACATTAGTTATCAAACAAAAATTTAAGATTTTGAGTCTGTGGTTCTGCTAAGTTTTGTGACTTCCTCTCGCGAACTTTCAGGTGTGGGTTTCCAATGCTCAAACTTGTAAGGTTTCAAACGCACATCGATTGGGCTAGTATAACTCATTTCTCTGACGCGCACTATGGGGAATTAAGAGTATTAGGTGGTCCTTAGGAGGAATTTGGTCAATTTGATGCAGTTTTAAAAATGGCTTGGGGACGGAACTTGGACCTTGAATGATCGGAGCTTTGCCTCTAGCCACCGAGAAGCCTTGAAAAAATCCCAAAGAACTCAATAAATTCATAAAAGTTAACAAAAAGTCAGTAAAAATGAAAAAATATAAAAATTATCAAAAGTATATGCCAAATAAAAAACAAAAAAAATGGAATCTTACTCATATCTCGATAGAATGTGAGAATGCAACAATAACTGAAATATGATTAAATGGAGTGACATCAGTCAAAATCAAATCAATTATATGAATTTAAATTTTAAAGATGGAAGTTGTTGAAAATATCATGGTCAATCTTCCTATCTTTGTGATTAGTGTGAGATGCCTCCAATCTTTGTTAGTGTCCTCAAACCACTCAATATGAAACCTCCAAGCTAAATTGTGTTTTGGGTTCAGATCTAGTTGATTTGAGCTCTTGAAATTTTGGATGAACAATGGATCGAAAATACAAATCTTTGCCTCTCTGATTTTTTCTGTTTGCTTGTAGAAGCAAGCCTATGATTTGATAAACCTACAATAGTCATCGAAGATCGACTGATCATTGCGAAAGTGAAAGCAGTGGCTATGTAGAATTCCAAGCTATAAAATAAAAAATTTTCTTTCTTTTCTTTATTAATTGCTGGAAATTCTACTTACAAATGCCGCAAAACAACAAAAGATCTTTAGATCTTACTGCCAAATAATCTTTATTCAAAACTAAATACAAATTAATGACTTTAAGGAGGAAAATAAGACAAGAACAACAAGAATAAAGTAAATAAGAGAATACTTACTGGACTATTGCCTAGGGTTACTCCCTTGGGACGACACTCACATCTGATCACCTGACCGATGATGCACCTGATTTTGGATCCTGCTGAATCCTCCAATCTGGAATTAGGAAGCACCTCTAGAACACCCTTATCTAGGGGTACTTCCTTTCTCTCTAGATAGGTGCATGCCACCCCATACACTTGTGGGAGGGGGCATACCACCTTTTTGAGAGAAGAGAGGAGGCTAGAGAGAGAGACAGAGTGGCGTGGAGAGAAGAGAAAGGAGAGAGAGATCTCATGTGTCTAGAATGAAGAGGTGGGTGGGTGTGTGGGGGGTGCCGGGGGGGAGGGGTTCCCCTCCTTTAGGCCTCAAGGACCTTAGGGTGCCCCAGTCATATTAGGATTCAGCAGTCTCAAAAATATTTAGGTAATAAGTGAGGTGAGATAGAGAAACAATCTGAGCCATCCATCTCCAAGGTCAACCATCATGATCCAGAGTGGATATTTAGGATCCTTTTCCTTGACATTTGACCCATAGACACTTCTAATCTATCCAAACTTTAACCAGTCAAAACCAATCTTCTAGAATAATCTAGAATTCCTTTTCTTTCACAAAGGGATAATAAAGAATTTAAATAATACAAAACATGGTCAAAGATAATCTAGATCCCACAAAATCTCATAAAAGAGTTTTTTAAAAAGCATTTTCAACTAAATAATCTTTTTCATAATAAAAGATAACAAGCTAATGGTTTCGTAAAATAATGGGAAAGTGTCATCCTATGTGGGGTGTGTGTGGCAGTGGGCCCCAAGTCCCACACCATGTGAATCCCACACGTGTGGGGCTGGGGCCTTAGCCCCGGCACGTGGGTCCCACCCAATAAAATAAAATTTTGAAAACACCCCCTTTGTTTAAATTACAAAAGGACCCTTTAGGGTTTTTTATGCCATTTTAAAAAATATATTGAAATTTTGAAAAATATCCAAAAAACAAAGAAACAGAAATTTAATTGAAAACAATATTTCTGGAGTTCTAAAAAATTAATAACCCCATAGAAATACTTTTAGAAGTGGATTGGTACCATATCGGTAAAAAACAAGTGACTATCAGGGACTCCACCCGTGCTAGTATCCATGATCTGTTATTGTCTTCTTAAATTAACCCAATGAGACCCATGATCCATAGTCAAGTGCAGGGGCTCATGAGTAGCCTGTCAAAGCCAGCCAATAAATAGTGGAACCGTAGGCCTAGTATGTGGATTGCAAATTCCCCCATAAGGGCAAGTCAAATGCACATATCACTTTAGTGCAAAGGGGGCTCTCTCTTTGTACATATAC